CCGGGATTCTCCGTTTTTTCCCACTCCAAAAAATGTTAAGCTAACTGATGGTGCACACATGGGTTTACTCCGGGATTCTCCGTTTTTCCCCACTCCAAAAAATGTTAAGCTAACTGGTGGTGCACACATGGGTTTACTCCGGGATTCTCCGGTTTTTCCCACTCCAAAAAAATGTTATGCTAACGGTTGGTGCAAGTCAGGGTTTACTCCGGGATACTCCGGTTTTTCCCACTCCAAAAAAAACATTAGACTTACTGGTGATTCTAGACTGACATTTTCTCATTCTGCTTCTGTTCTGCTTCTCTCTCAGTGTGCAAGTTGTATCTGGATGGATGGATGGATGGATGGATGAATGAATGTATGGATGGATGAATGGATGGATGGATGGATGGATGGATGGATGGATGAATGTATGGATGGATGGATGGATGAATGTATGGATGAATGAATGTATGGATGAATAAATGTATGTATGTATGTATGGAAGGATGGATGGATGGATGGATGAATGGACGGATGAATGAATGAATGTATGGATGAATGAATGTATGTATGGATGAATGGATGGATGGATAAATGGATGGATGGATGGATGGATGGATGGTCCTCTCCGAAGAATTGCAACCTTAACGTGGTGGAGGGGTTTGAGTACCCTTGTGATCCTGGGGCCTGTTGACTGGGAGTTAGCCCCTTGTAGGGTCTCCCATGGCAAATTAGCCTCAGGGGTGGGGTCAGACTAATAGCAATTCAAAAACTTTGATAAACAGCAACAGAAAATTTGTTTTATTATACCAGGTTAAATGTTACCAGGTAAAGACAGAGTATCTAGTAATTAGGTGCCAGGTAAGTTCCAGGTACCTAGGAAGTACCTGGTAACTGGTGCCAGGTACCTGCAGCCTAACACTAATTTCTCGTTAGTACAGTGGTTAGTATACCCGCATATCATGCGGGAGACCGGGGTTCGATTCCCTGACGAGAAGTTAACTTTAATAGGAGACCGAGATGGTGCAGAGGTACGGCAGCCGAGTTGGAACCAAAAGTCACAGGTTTAACTCTGCGCCATGCCCACATGCCGTGGTGTCCTTGAGCAAGACACCGAAACCCTAATTGCTCCCCGGGCGCTTCAAATCACTAGCCAATATGAAATGGTAATATAATAGTTCAGAGATTCTTTATTGTCATTCGCACCACATGTGGTGGAACAAAATTATGTACACAGGGTCCCAGTTACATCTACATCTACTACATAGTAGTGTTTGTATGTTTTACTCATTTATGTATAAATTTATTTCACTTTTTTACTTTTTATCCCCAATATTTCCAGTGCCTGTGGTTATTATTTCATTATTCCTCTGTTTATTATTTTTTCTTTAATGTAATCCAATATTACTCTTTTTAAATTACTTTTTGTGTTGAAGATATTTATACGTAATGTTATTTGTTCAAAATAAAGTAATATTAATATTTATTATTTATATTAATGATTATTAATATTGGGTAGCATGGTGGCGCAACTGGTAGAGCTGCTGCCTCTCAGTGAGCAGGTCCTTGGTTCAAACCCCGGTCCAGGGGTCTTTCTGGGTGGAGTTTGCATGTTCTCTCTGTGCATGAGTGGGTTTTCTCTGGGTGCTCCGGTTTCCTCCCACAGTCCAAAAACATGCATGTTAGGCTGATTGGTAACTCTACATTGTCCCTAGGTGTGAGTGAGAGAGTGAATGGTTGTTTGTCTCGTTTGTCTCTATGTGTCCCTGTGATGGACTTGCGACCCGTCCAGGGTGTACCCCGCCCCTCGCACAGTGATTGCTGGACATGGGCACCAGCGACCCCCGTGACCCAAAATGGAATAAACGGGTAAAGAAAATGGATGGAAGGAAACCATAACTGCAACCTCCAGCCTCACCACATGGTGGTGCTGTCGCTATGATATTTTTAAACATGGTTTTGTTTGGATTTGAGGTTTTAACCAGTAAAATTCTCTGTTTTGTTGTCTTGCAACCTGGAATTTAAAAAGATTCTTGAGAGCTTTGTATATTTTAATTTACAAAACATAACTAACCTTTTTAACAAGCAAAATATTTTTTATTCTGGAACGAACAAACAAAAAAATTAAAACAAAAAACTGCCCTTGTTAGAAGATCTCACATCTCTGTAAGACTAACATGTTTCCATCAAGAGTCCACTTTGTCCACTTCCCCAGGCCCTGTTGATGAAAACCATCCCCACAGCATGATGCTGTCACCACCATGCTTCACTGTAGGGATGGCGTTCCCAGCATGATGAAGTGGTAGATTTGCATGTTGTCCTTGATGGTCTTAAAGTTCAAGATTGTTCTCATTCTTCTTCATGTTCCTCACTTTTGTTGGGCTTTTCCTTACAACCGCTCCACAAAGCTCAGCTCGGTGCAGCTGATGGTGCAGCTGATGGTGCTGCTGGACAGATCCTTTCGCCCCTTATGTTTTATCTATGGCCTCCTGGATCTGTCTCTGATTAATGACTCTCTTGTCGGCAGATCTGCTGTGATCCCGTAATCTTTCAGTTCTTTAACAATCAGATTAAATGGCACCTTGTTTAACTTAAGCCAGATCTTCTGTATTTCAGACTGTAAAGCAAAAACGGTGAATTATTTTACACGCACTGCATTTCATGTTTCTTTCTTTTTTTTTTTTAGAATTCCTTACAAAACATACAACAAAAACAATACATATAATCCCACACGGAATTGTTCGTATGTCATATCTCTGGAGACGATGCGTCTGAATCTCATCTGTATTTCTCAGCGAGCACCGCTGCGAAGGCGGACAGGTACTTGTCCATCGCTGCGTGTGCAACCGGCGTGAACTCTTCACCCAGATAACAAGCCAGGGTGACGAGCATACAGTGTGACAGCAGCTGCAGGGGAACGAACAAACAAATGAAGACGAGTCAGTAACAGGATTCATGTTCCCTCAATCACGTCTCTAATCTATGAACAGCATTTGATTTTTGTTAGTTATTCAGAATAAAAAGGCGATCCAAGTAAAGTCTGCTTTTTGTAACAACTATTATGAAAAATATCCTGATGCTCAATAATGCAGGTAGATAAATCCAACAAAGTTAAGTCAGGTCCTCTGGACGGATTCTTCTTGAAACGTTTCGTCTTTTATCCAAAAGGCTTCTCAGACTGAAGAAGTCTTTTGAATAAAAGACGAAACGTTTCAACGAGAAGAATCCGTCCAGAGGACGTGAACTTGTTGGACAGTTTGAACAATTCGTCATCTCAGATGTTACACAACCACTTCCTTATAACATTCTAAAACAAGTTGTAAAACTTTCTTGTGGTTGTTTTGTAACGTTAAAAAAAAAACTCAATAAAAAAATGTGTAAAAATCCTTTAATTTATTTTGCTTAAAAATTGTATAAATGCTAAACAAAAAGACCAATACAGTTTATTTGTTAGCATCTTTCAAGACACCCAAGGACTTTTTTTGTTTGTTTCTTGGCTGCTCCATTCTTCAGGGGTCGCCACAGAGAACTAAGTCGCACAAAGACTTGGCAAGTGTTTTTACGCTGGATGCCCTTGACTCAACCACAGAGCACCGAGCTACCACAGCCCTCTGTGTGGAGCAGAGAGCTGCTATCTAGGGCGCCCGGGGGAGCAGAAGGTTGGGGTTAAGGGCCTTGCTCAAGGGTGCAGAGTGGGGCAAATGGAGGCAGGTGTGGGTGCTTTATCTATCCCACCTACATTTTTGATGTTGTCAGTACCGGGAGTTGAACCAGCGACCTTCTGAACACAGGCCCACCATCTCTAACCTCTGCGCCACCACTCCCTCTCCAATGTACAAAATTAAGAACAATACAATAGAACATCACATTAAACCACAAGATAAAGAACTGTAAGTAGAAACAGCCCAAAAATTAGAACCAGTAACGTGAACATACGAGTTGTGAGTCGTCATGTGAAGGCAGGAAGTGGATTAAAAAGTCCGGGAGTGAAGTGGAAAAAGCTCGGTCGAGTGAATTTTGTTTTGTGCTTTGACATTTCTGGATTCAATTGTGGTTTTTAAACATATTTGATAAATTACTATATATGTTTTCAAGTTTTTAAAATGATGTTTATTTTTAAGGGCAGCACAGTAGAGCTGTCACCTCTCAGCAAGAAGGTTGCCGGATCAAATCCCAGCCGAGGGCCTTTCTGGGTGGAGTTTACATGTTCTCTCCATGCATGCGTGGGTTTGTTCCCGGTACTCCAGTTTCCTCCCACAGACCAAAAACATGCATGTTAGGCTGATCAGTAACTCTAAATTGTCTCTAGGTGAGAGTGAGAGAGTGAATGGTTGTTTGTCTCTATGTGTCCCTATGATGGACTGGAGACCTGTCCAGGGTGTCCCCCGCCTCTCACACAGTGACTGCTGGATATGGGTGCCAGCTCCCCGTGCCCCGTAAAGGAATCATGGGTAAAGAAAGTGAATGCATGAATGTTTATTTTTAATTTCATCACAATCCTGACAATTGTTTGGTGAATCCTCATATTAGCTGCTGAAAGTCTATGGTTGAAGGATGTCCTTCATAAAATCTTCATCCTGTTACTGGACTGCTGCCAATTATTCATGAGCGGGACCAACATTAACATTGTTCTCCACAAAACAAAAACAAAAAATGAAAGAGGCAAGTGTATTTCTCTGTTAGCAAAATATTTTTCAAACCAGAAGACGGTTTTCAATGAAACTCTCAGAAAATTATCATTAGGTGTATGATACAACAGATTCACTTTTAAGTTAGGGGCCTTGCTCACAGGCCCACAGTGGTGGAAATGAGGGTGGAGGTGGGTGTTTCACTTTCCCCCCCACATTTTGAAGTAACGGTCAGGGGATTTGAACCGGCAACCTTCCAGTCATAGCCTTCTCTAACCTCTGCTCCTCGGTCAGTTTTACTAGCCATGGAGGAAGCTGAGAGTTATCTCCAACACATGCTTTGACCTGAGACACAAGTCTGCACAAGATCACAGGAAGACGCATGAGATCACACAACTTAACTTTCAAGCTTCGACCCAAACAGCTATAATTCTGACATTTCTCAACACATGATCTTATTTTATAATTCTGGCACAAAAGGTAACAAGTGATATGTATTCATTCAAGGAATCCTACAATTTATTTTCATTTAGTGTTTTTTATTTTATTTTGTCCCAGTCATAATTTAATCAAAAGCTTCTGAGATGTGTTGGAATATAATCTGAACATTTTGTACTACACTGTATATTTCCAAACATAAAATTAAAAGATATAACAGATGTTGCCAGGTGGTTGGACCATGATCATAACTACGTCCAGTTTGAACAATATCATAGTTTTCACAGTAATGCATTGAAACCAATAGTTAAATACAATTTCATTTGATCTGATTAAAATATAAAAAGATAAACTGCATTTCCTGCAAAACTGCAGTGTGAATGCTTATTGTTGAAGAACTTGCTGAAAAACAGCTGAAATTAGCTTCTAACATGCTGAAATGTAGCTCAAATGGAAGAACAAGCCTAAATTAGCAGAAATAGAAAGAACACTGAATTATGTTTAAATAAGCAGAAATGAGCACAAAAATTAGGAAATTAGCTCAAAAACTAAAATTAACTGAAAAGTAGCTGAAAATGCAGAAAGAAGTTTAAGTTACCAAAAGGAAGTGGAGAGAGCACATTTTTGCTGAATTAGGCTGAAAAAGTTTAAATGAGTGCAGAAAATGTGGAATTGACTAGGCTAAAATTAGCATAAAACAGCTAACATCTCTTAATGAAATGAGGATAACGAGTTACAACAACAAATAATTTCCCTTTGGGATTAATAAAGTATTTTTGAATTGAATTGAATTGGATTAAACAGTAGCTGAAGTAGCTGAAACAACTGATACTAGCAGAAATAAGCTGAAAGGAGCATAACAAGCTGAAATTAGCCAAAATAAGTTAATTAGGCTGAAAGTAGCAGAGATTACCAAGAAAAACTTGGATTCATCTGAAAACAGCTAAAATGAGCTAAAAAAAAAAAAGCTAGCTGAAAAGGTAGAACAAGCTTAAGGTAGCACAAGAACGTGAAAAGAACACGTTTGCCCAATTAGGCTTAAAGAAGCAAAAATTAGCACAAAAAAGTGGAAATTACCTGAAAAGAGCATAAATTAGCAACAACAACAAAAAACAGCTGAAAAGTAGCTAAAAAGCATAAAGAAGCTGAAATTACAAGAAAGAAGTGGAGAGAGCACATTTTTGCTGAATTAGGCTGAAAAAGTTTAAATGAGTGCAGAAAATGTGGAAATGGCTGAAGAAGCTAAAATTAGGGGGAAAAACAGCTAAATGGTAGCTGAAATAACTGAAACTAGCAGAAATAAGCTGAAAGGAGCATAACAAGCTGAAATTAGCCAAAAGAAGTTAATTAGGCTGAAAGTAGCGAGATTACCAATAAAAACTTGGATTTATCTGAAAACAGCTAAAATGAGCTTTAAAAAAGCTAGCTGAAAAGGTAGAACAAGCTTAAATTTACATAAGAAAGCAAAAAGATATTTTCTCAATTAGGCTTAAAGAAGCAAAAATTTGCTAAAAAAAAAAAAGTGGAAATTACCTGAAAAGAGCTTAAATTACCAAAAAAAAAATAAATAAATAAATACAGCTTAAAAAGTAGCTAAAAAGCAGAAACTAGCTGTAATTACAAGAAGGAAGTGAGGAGAACCCATTTTTGCTGAATTAGGCCAAAAAAGTTGAAATGAGTGAAAAAAATGTGGAATTAGCTGAAAAAGCTTAAATTTGCATAAAACAGCTATACTGTAGTAGAAACAGTAGAAAAGACTTAAACTTACAGAAATAAGCTGAAAGGAGCATAACAAGCTGACATTAGCAGAAATAATTTAGAAGAAACACAAAAATGTTGTAGTTGGCAGAACCTGAAAGGATCACAAAACAGCTGAAAACCAGCTGAAAGTAGCTGAAAAAGGTTTAAACTTTCACAAGGAAGCTGAAAGAAGCTGAAGCAGAACAAAATGTGAAAGGAGCAGTTAAAGGTTGTAAACAGATTTAAAGATTTGAAGGATGTAAAATGGGCTCAGTTCATTTTCTATGAGGAAACAAATGGCAGAAAAGGCTAAATAGTTCAAAAAGCTAAAGGTGCACAAATACCAAAAGTCATAGCAGGATTGTTCTGAACGAGCTGAACGTTTTATGATTTGTTGAAATAGCTTGAATACTGCAGGACGAGAAAAACGCAAACAAAAAAAAGATGGCAATGCTTCATGAACATTCACGCAATAATAGTTATACTGTATGAGGCTGTTGATACATGTGACTGTGGGCTCTACGGGGGCACCTTAAAGTTGGTCGGGTCTATCCGGAGCTGGTAGGCATGCAAAGTTTGCAGGGGTGCGAGGGTAACGGTCAGCTGGCTGATGTCTTTGGCGCCCTCTGCTATGGCCAGGACGATCTTCTTCCCATGAGAGTGCAAATGGGAGGAACCAGGACTGATGTCTAGATGAGAAAAATATGTCTTTGTGCCTGGATAAGAAGCAAACATCCTGGTGGAAGAAGACCAGGTGACTTTAGATTGCTGCTGTAAGAAACAAAAAAAACTAAAAGCTTTGCAAGATACGTGTTCCCCATCCTCCATGGCATTAGGCAGCTTAATTCCACTTACACTGGGCTGCTTTCTAACATTGGATTTATTATTAACGTATCAAAGTAAAGTCATTTATAAACTAGAATTTACAGTTAGAATGGCAGGTTTTGTTCGACGTTGTTTTAATCGTCTTGCAGAAACAGAGACTTTAACACAAAAAGTTCCCATTTTAAAAGTATGTGGTCTACTTAAGAAAGAGATAACCCACCTTAGAAGAGCTTCTGACCCGATGTCTTCCGCCACAGGACTCAGTCTTTCCCAGATCTCTTTAATCAGCCCTTTCTCCTTCTTTGACAGCATTGTGGCCCTCTACATTGAACAATAAGTAGTCAATAAAAATCCCAAGCTTGAGGTCTTTAACCTGAGCTGCACTTCAATCAACCATTTTGTCTCGACTTAAACAAAACAACAGAAAAGAAGAATGAGTGAAACAAATGAAGGGAATGATTCCTGCAGATGGATGAAAAGATGTTCAGGTCTGGGCAGCCGTGTGGTTTCCCCCTCTCTGCGTTATCAGACAGCAGCCAGAGCAGGGTGGGGGCTCCATCAGCTGCTTCGCCTGCGTCATGTATGGCATGAATGTGATTATAAAAACTAACCTGAATCTGCATCCAGTGCCTGCTTTTTTTCTAAGGGTGGTCTCTTTTTAATATAAAAATGAGTGATTTGATCAGGATCGAGTCCTGCAACTTGTATAATTAAAGCCATAATCTTCTTCATTTGTCAAAACGTACCTAACAATAATCCTTTAAGCAGTTACCCTTCTTACGTGGTGCTACCTAAATAAAGTAATAAAAAGTTGCAGGTCACATTTTACACTTGTGGGGAATCGTGCATAAAAAGAGCTATTCTGCAGCGTGTTGAGGCCTCGTAACGTTTTTCAGCTGCTATCTGCGGCTCCATAAGCTGCAGCTCAGGAACTGATGGGTGTGAAGCATCTGATAACATTGAAAACCAACCAAGATGACTCTGCAAGTATATGTACTAGACGTGTACAGCATTTCCATGCACCCAGCGGAGAAAGGAACCTTAACGAAACTGTTCTGTTTATTATTTGTCTTTTTTTCCCCCGTAAATTAAAGTCATGCTACAGCTCATACTGCAAGTAGTATTAAGATGATATGTACATGGTAGTAAGTATACGGCCCGTGCATACAACAGAGAAAAATACTCAGACATGTTCACCTGTAGGAGGCACTATAATTGATGACTTAGCATTTGGTGATCAAGTAATCAGCTTTATCATAGCCGTGGTCCCATGTTGGGCATATTGATGGATATGACAAGCTGAAGCCTTTAGGAATTGGAACAAGTGGACGCATTGATGACCAGAAGCTTTAAATGGGTGAAGCCTACAAAACAAATAATGATCCAAGAGTGGAGCTGGCTACTTCCTGGATGCAGTGATCATAGCTGATGGTTGCCCTGAAAGACAGACTGGATTTCGGGGCTGAAAATGTTCATGCAGCTGATATGCAACTATTTTTTTTTCATTTTTCAGAAAATTAGAAACATTCATGAAATCAAGGGGCAATTTGTTTCACACAAAACGTCCACGCTAGACTTTGAGACATTAAAACAACAGTAGAGAGATCATCACTGTTTGTTGAAAAGCCTGATCTCTGCAGGGATGAAGAGTTTTTCAGTCTGTTCATCTGGGCAGCAGATACCTGCGTCCAGATGGAAGCAACCTGAACTCACCATGGAGTGGATGATCAGGATCTGCCAGAATCAGCCTGGCCTTGTTCACTGACCTCGCCTTGTGAGGTGGTGGCTGATTTTGTGAAGACACTGTATCCAGTTCTGGATTGACAAACTGAGAACAGATGATGCTTCTCAGACAACTTCTTGAACAAAAGCATGAATTCAGTTCTGTTTTCTTCGCACAGTACGGGGAAATATAATTTCATTTCAATAATAACAGGCGATTTGATGTTGCACATTCATTGAAAGTGATCATAATGTATGGGTTTTTTTGTGACACTGTATCAAATATGAATAATTTCACAAAACAATAACAAAATGAAGTTATTTAGTCTATAAATTAATTCTGGGCTTTGTTTTTAGTTAAGTCATTTTGTTTGATTTGATCCTGGGCCTTTACAGATCAACTAAAAGTTTCTACAGAATATCAATAAAAGCTGACAGCTGTGATTTAGCAGGTTCATACACATTATAGCTTAACACTATGGCTTCCTTATAACCTAAAATACGATAAGGTTCTGTTTCTTTTTAGTTTGTGTGTGCTTTAATTTAGATTTTTTTATATCTAGAACTAAATGAAGTTGTCTCAGCAGGAAAACCACAGGAAGTCCACAGTGAATCTTCATTCTCCAAATAATTATCCTTTATTTGTATTGTTTATTTGTTTGCTATTTTTGACAATTTGTTGTTTGATTAATTATATGAATTGATTTATTTGTATTTATTTGTAATAAAACTTCGAAGACACATTTAGTCTCCTCATTCAGATGAATATTCATTATAATTCTCTGTAGTTAACAGATTTTAACTTCATTAACTGAGTTCTGGTTAGTAAAGGGTGACTACATTAGTTAAGTTGTTGCTGGTCAGTAAACAGAGGAGCAAGTGTCCCCTTTCTTCCTCCATTCACTCATGCTACATGTAATGAATAGCAGCAAAACCCTGGAAAGACGAGTGAAACCTGGTGACATGAATACCAGTTTGGGGCTGGTTATGCCATTTTAGCTGATACAATTTGATAAATCATTTTCTGGCTTGTAATGATAATAAATGACTTGATCTGGTCACATTAAATAACTTCTCTCAACCAAATTCCAAAGTAAACTATTTATCAAATAGTTAAACTTCGTCTAAATGTGTGTGCATAATAAAATCTAAATAATTCCTGTTCAAAGAGCTAATTTTGCCTAGTTGCTTTTGTGCATCACATATAATTTGCACATTGATTGAATGGAAATGCTTCCTGTTGACATAATTGCATACATCCTGTGATGGTGCTTTTATAGCTATGTGTATGCAGTCAATAGCTCAGTTACATTAGGAAAACTGGCTGTTGCTGCAAATTGTGCTTTAATATTGGCCTGTTCAGCTGCATTTGATGGAGTTTGATACACCTGGTTGATGTACGGATAATTCCATCCCACACAGCTGGCATGGCTCAGCTCAGGGTTGACTGGCTCAGTTCTGATAGGTCAGCGCCCTCTGGAATGCCCCTGTAGCTATAGGAACCCCAGTGTGGTCAGCAGCTGTATGTGTACGGGCAGCGCACGACCCCTCGCTGTGTCGCGCTCCAAGACCAGCCACAGCTTCAAGCACAGTCCCAAAAGGATTACCTTTGGAAGTCTAAAACGGCTGATGAGCCAGTCAGCATCGTAAGCCAGAAAATCCTCTCTGCCTCTAAATACATGCTCGCTATTGCATCATTTGCTACATCCAATTCAATTCAAATATATTTTATTAATCCCAAAGGGAAATTAGTTGTTGTTGTAGCTCATCATCCTGGTTTCATTAGAGTTGTTAGAGATGCTGATGGTTGTGGGCAGAAAGGATCACTTGTAGCAGTCCGTCCCACAGCAGAGCCAAAGAAACTGGCTGCAGATGCCTATCTGTCCACCCAGACCCAGCAGACCTCTTGGTCCTCTTGGGCTGCAGGACTGCCTGAATGCCGAACATACAGGTCCTTCTCAAAAAATTAGCATATTGTGATAAAGGTCATTATTTTCCATAATGTAATGATAAAAATGAAACTTTCATATATTTCAGATTCATTGCACACCAACTGAAATATTTCAGGTCTTTAATTGTTTTAATACTGATGATTATGGCATACAGCTCATGAAAACCCAAAATGCCTGTCTCAAAAAATTAGCATATCATGAAAAGGTTCTCTAAACAAGCTATTAACCTAACCATCTGAATCAACGACGTAACTCTAAACACCTGCAAAAGATTCCTGAGGCTTTTAAAAACTCCCAGCCTTGTTCATTACTCAAAACCACAATCATGGGTAAGACTGCCGACCTGACTGCTGTCCAGAAGGCCATCATTGACACCCTCAAGCAAGAGGGTAAGACACAGAAAGAAATTGCTGAACGAATAGGCTGTTCCCAGAGTGCTGTATCAAGGCACCTCAGTGGGAAGTCTGTGGGAAGGGAAAAGTGTGGCAGAAAACGCTGCACAACGAGAAGAGGTGACCGGACCCTGAGGAGGTTTGTGGAGAAGGGCCAATTCCAGACCTTGGAGGACCTGCGGAAGCAGTGGACTGAGTCTGGAGTAGAAACATCCAGAGCCACCGTGCACAGGCGTGTGCAGGAAATGGGCTACAGGTGCCGCATTCCCCAGGTCAAGCCACTCTTGAACCAGAGACTGTGTCAGAAGCATCTCGCCTGGGACTGCTGCTGAGTGGTCCAAAGTTATGTTCTCTGATTACAGTAAATTTTGCATTTCCTTTGGAAATCAAGGTCCCAGAGTCTGGAGGAAGAGAGGAGACACAGAATTCACATTGCTTGAGGTCCAGTGTCAAGTTTCCACAGTCACTGGAGTGTCATGTCAGCTGCTGGTGTTGGTCCACTGTGTTTTATCAAGGGCAGGGTCAATGCAGCTAGCTATCAGGAGATTTTGGAGCACTTCATGCTTCCATCTGCTGAAAAGCTTTATGGAGATGAAGATTTAATTTTTCAGCACGACCTGGCACCTGCTCACAGTGCCAAAACCACTGATAAATGGTTTACTGACCATGGTATTACTGTGCTCAATTGGTCTGCCAACTCTCCTGACCTGAACCCCATAGAGAACCTGTGGGATATTGTGAAGAGAAAGTTGAGAGATGCAAGACCCAACACTCTGGATGAGCTTAAGGCCGCTATCGAAGCATCCTGGGCCTCCATAACACCTCAGCAGTGCCACAGGCTGATTGCCTCCATGCCACGCCGCATTGAAGCAGTCATTCATGCAAAAGGATTCCTGACCAAGTATTGAGTGCATAACTGAACATGATTATTTGAAGGTTGGTGTTTTTTGTATTAAAAACACTTGTCTTTCATTGGTGGGATGAAATATGCTAATTTTTTGGGACAGGCATTTTGGGTTTTCATGAGCTGTATGCCATAATCATCAGTATTAAAACAATTAAAGACCTGAAATATTTCAGTTGGTGTGCAATGAATCTGAAATATATGAAAGTTTCATTTTTATCATTACATTATGGAAAATAATGACCTTTATCACAACATGCTAATTTTTTGAGAAGGACCTGTAACTCCTCCCAGAGCGGTTGCCATTTCTCCCAGCAGCCTGCTGAGCTCCTCATCACTGCAGACTTAACTACAAGT